TGCAATCTCTTGACTGAGTATTTTTGATATGCAGTTGGAATCTGTGGATGCAGAACCCATGGGAGGGAGGATTGGCCATGTTCCTTTCCTATCTTCTTTTTTATTTTTCAATAAATATAGGTAGCTATTTTTTTTAAACATAGATTAATTTATTTAACCAACTGAAAGAAACAGATATTCCCATTTTATTTATTTATTTATTTATTCATTTTTTTAGATATTCCCATTTTAAACAAAGGAAATGTAGCAGCAAGAGTTAAGTGACTCATGTGCCAATTTTATAAGCATGACCATGTATAATTCTATCACACAGGTGGGCCATAATTTATTTAATCAGTTGCTTGTTTTAGAACATGTAGGGTCTTTCCAATTTCCCACAAATATAACCAAGGTTAGGATGAAACACTTGTTGAATAAATCAATTATGTTCATAGGAAACTCTCTGAAAGAGCAGTTAGTGAAAGGGCATGCAGGTTTTAGAGGACCTGGTAAATACCATTTAATCACTTTCTAGAAAGTTCCAGTCACTTTGCTCCCAGTGGGAATGTCTGCAGAGAGCCTTTCCCAGTCTGTCCAACAATGGCAACATTTTGTTTTATTTTTGTCAGTTTGTAAATGAAAACAATTTCTTCTGCTTTTGCTATATGCATCTTTGGTTATTACTGCTGCTTGACATTTTCTTAAATGTTTATTAACCATTTGAGTATATTTGTGTGCTGCTGTATCATGAATTTTGCCAGAATTTTTCTATTTGGATATTTATTCATTTTTCTGAGAGGTGTATAACACTTTATTTCATTCATTATATCAGCCAGCATTAATCATATATTAGCATAGAATTTCCTGCTATGTGTGACTTTGCACTGTATTTACAGTGTTTTTTGTTTGTCTGTGTTTTTGACTTCTGGAGTTTTAGTTTTTATTGTTTCTTCTTTTGTACTCAAGGAAGAAATAATTTGAGCCTGGGAATTAAAAAGCTTCTAAGGCTGGGAATGACTTCCTCTCTAATATAAGCCATCTGTTTATTTTTCCTCTAGTTGTTTTATGATTTCATTCATTCATTCATTTAAACAAATATTTTTTTATATTGGGGGTTGAACTTAGGATCTTGTGCTTGCAAGGCAGTAGTGTTGCCACTGAGCTAAATCCTTGGCTGGCCCGTTTGAAATACATTGTATAGCATAATACAGATATTTAAATTTTTGAAAGTTTACCATTGTCTAAGTACTGTTTTATTGGATTTTAATACACCTTTTCTCCAAATATTTAAAAATCCTATTTTTATAATGTGTTAATGTCTTTTTTTTTAGTACCAGGGATCGAACTCAGGACCTTACACTTGTGAAGCAGGCGCAGTGCCACTGAGCTAAATCCCTGGCCCTGCTAATGTCTTATTTAACATTTCACATAAGCCGAAACATTATTTTCTTTTACATTGTATTGTCTGATCACTCTTGACCAAACCCAGCATTTAAAATTATGATAGGAGACTGGGGATTTAGCTCAGTGGTTTTGCCGCCTGCTGCGCAAGCACAAGGACCTGAGTTTGATCCCTGGTACCAAAAAAAAATATGATAGCTTTATAGTATATTTTTATACTAACAGGGACATTCCCTCGTCACAATTTTTGCTACTTTATCTGTCTGAAATCTTTACTGTTTAATTTTGAAAAGGCAATATATGCATTTAGTAAAATGCCTCAACACTATTGTAGTTTTTTTTTTTTGGTACTGGGGATCTAACTCGGGACCTTGCAATTGCGAGGCAAGTGCCAGAACCACTGAGCTAAATTCCCGGTCCCTATTGTAGTGTTTTATGTGCTCAATTTGTTTATTATGGCTGCACATTTGCAATAGGAAAGACATAGGTAGGATGCATTTGGGGCTTGGTTGAAAACCCCTCAGTTTGTCCTACCGACCTGAGCCTCCCTGCTCAGGAGTCTTCCCTGGCCCATCCCTGGACGCTCCTGGCAGATTTAGGCTGCAGATGGGCAGGGGAGGTGTGGAGCATTTCAGAGATTGTGAACAGGAGTCCCCACATCCATAACATCATTCATTTATTTATCAGATATTTACTGTGTGACAAGTATTATGCCTCTTATGGATATGCAAACAAGATGTTGGTTTCTGCCCTGGTATGGTGGCTTGTGAGGCAAACTGAGCATACTCAGATGACACAAATGACACAAAAAAAGCCTGTGATGAGGGCTCGGGGGGATATTAACAGGGTGCCTCTATTTCTGGCTTCAGGCACCTGTCACTCTGTGACTCATGTGTTCTCTGGCTGCTGAAGCCTACTTCGCCCAACCTTTGGACAGGTTGGAAGCCTGGAGACTAATACATTCCATCTCATCCTGCAGTAGCTTTCAACTAATGACTAAGCTGAGGAGGTGTGTAAATACCCCAGCTCCCTCGTCCATTGGGTGGATAGCTCAGGCACATCCTCCAGGTATCTGAGCTCCTCAGGGAGAATCTAGCCCCATTGTTCAACGTGATAATTGTTCTTAAGACCTTGATTTGCATTGTTTCTTTTCCTGTTCCCTTCCTCTCTTAGTCCACTTTCCTTCCCTATAATGAAATACCTAAGATAAGTAACTTATAAAGAGAAAATGTTTAGTTTGGGTCATAGTTTTAACATTTCAGTCCATGGTCGATAGGCATGTGGTGGGGCAGGATATCATGGCAGGTGTGTGTGCATGTGTGTGTGTGTGTGTGTGTGTGTGTGTGTGTGTGTGGTGGAGTAATGCAGCCTACTTCATGGCCAGGACAAAAAGAGAGAGAGAAGGGGGCCCTGTCCCACAGTCCCCTTTGAAGCCACACTCCCAATGACCTGAAGACCTCCCCCCAGGTCTTACTTCTTAAAGATTCCACCTGGGGAACAAGGCTAAACACATGGGGTCTTTGGGGGAGAGTCAAGATCCAAACCACAGTAGCTTTCCATTCCTCAGGATTTTCTAGGTTCCTCCTATATTAATCCTTTATCTCCTCATCTCATAGCTTGTTTCATAGGAAATCAGTCTAAGACAAATGGAAATCTTGGTGTTGGAGGACGTTAATCTAGGATAGGCAAACTCTGGGCTGTGATCCAAATCTGGCTCACTGCTTGTTTTTATAAATAAACTTTTATTAGAACACATGCAATCCATTATTTTTATTGTCTGTGGCTGCTTTTGCTTTGCAGTGGTGGAGTTGAGTTGTTTGGTCAGAGACTGATTGGCTTACAAAGATGAGCAAGACCTTGGTCTTGAGCACAATGGCATGAACTGATTTGTTTTATTACATGATCACTCCAGCTATTGTGTGGAGAGGTGATTAGGGGTTGGAGGGCTTGAGGGGACAGATGGGGACCAGGTCAGCCACCATGGAAGCCTGGGAGAGGTAAGGTGAACAGACTGAAGTCGTGTCTGTGATAGTTAGTCTTGATTGTCAACTTGATTGCATGGAGAAATGCACAGGAAGTTAGCAGAGCACACTTCTGAGTGTGTCTGTGAGGGTGTTTCCAGAGATGATTGGCGTATGGGAAAGCCAATTGGGTAGGCAGACCTGTCCTGAATGTTGGAAGCCCCATCCAATAAGCTGGGGACCTGGATGGAACAAAAGGAGAAGGAGAAAGCCACCAGCACAGAGAAGCTTTCTGCTCCTGGCTACACAGTGCCAGGCCCCTCTCTGTCTCCCTTCCGCCATGATGTTTCTACCTCACTGTGGTCTCAAAGCAACAGAGCCAGGTGACTGTGGACTGAAACCTCTGAAACCAGGACACAAAATAAACCTTTTCACCTTTCAGTTGTTATTCTCAGGGATTTTGTAACAACAGCAGAAAGCTGACGGACACAGATTGAGGGAGGGTGGGAACAGCGAAACCTGTGGATGAACTGGGTTCGGGGAAGGGTGGCTAAGGCTGCGACCCTGTGCACTTTCAGTCCCTGAAATGCTCCCTTGAGAATCCAGTGATGGCTCAGGTTTTACTTTTTTTTTTGGTACAGGGGATCGAACTTGAGTTCTTACGCTTGCGAGGCAGGCGGCGGAACCACTGAGCTACATCCCCGGCCCCTCGGGTTTTACTTTTGACATCTTTTTCTTCAGGAGTCCTGTGATGCCTCGGGTTGGCTGGGGCCACTCTGGGTTTGTGTGGTCCTTATATTTACCGTGTTCTTTTCCTTCTGTAGTCTTGCCTTATGTCACGGAGATAACGTAAGTGCGAGCCTGGATTTTAACAGTTTAACTCACAATCCTGCTCTCGTCAACCATGACTGTGTTCATTTATTGGTGTAGCCCTTGACCTAGCACACAGTAGGTGCTCAGTAAATATTGTGATGACGAGGAACTCTGATTTGGTCTGATCCCCTCATCCCAGTGCTTCACCAGCTGGCGTCCCCACCCTGGCCCTCCCTCCTTCCCTAGCTGGGCCTCCTCCAGTCTGATGGCCAGATGTGAAGTCACAGAGCTAGCAGGTGACAGACACTACAGCCACCACGACTTAACAAGCACGAGACACAGAAGCTGTGAGCTGGCTGTGCGCAGGCCACAAATCATTTCCGGTGGGGCATCGGTGTCTGCTCAGCAGCTCGTGTGTGAATCATGGTCCAATTCTCCTGGGACATTAGCCGAAATGGAGGGGACGTGCAGGGAACCTGTGTCAAGCAGGGCTGTCGCTCTAAGGTGGGAAGGCCGGCCCAGCTCCACCGTGCCTGCCCTCTGTCTGTCTTGCAGCCTTGAATCTGGGAGCAGCCGCCCTGCCTCTGTGAAGATGACTTCATAAATTACTCAGGCACAAGCTGTCCAGATGGGAGAGCAGGCAGAGGCAGCCCAGAAACAAGCAAGGGGGCACTGGCACCTGTGAAAAAACCTGAGGGAGAGGAGAGGAGACCGGAAGTGGGTCAGCAGGTCTGGTGGCAGGGAGGCCTCCCCCGTGGGCGGGGACCTCACTTCCCTGCCATCTCCCCTCTCCCTGTCTCTGTCCCCTCTTGCCATCTTTAAAAAACACACATAGGCAGAAATCAATCCATCAAATGTCATTACAGATTTATTAAGCCTGATGTAGAAAGACATTTAACAGTAACATCTCCAGAAAGCATAAAAAGAGCACTTCTATTCAGTCTTGTGCTTTGAAAATCTAAATATATTTTTATCATATAAATAATTCTTTTCATGTTTTAAGTGCATCTGTGTTTTTTTTTCTTCTCTCCTTTAATTTTCTTTTTTTTTTTCAATTGGCCAAAGCGGAAGTTGGCATAGACTGCACTGAAGCATTTGCAAAGCCGATGGTGTTGAGAGGCATGTCTCTGCTCTACCGTATCTCCTGGGTTTCAGAAAGGTGGTTCAATATCTGCAGCATTAAAATGAGGGACAGCCTCCGGCAAAATCATAATTGAACACACCCAGGTCCTTAATGTCGGCAGCTGGCTTTCCTGATGTAAATTACGATAAGGTTTCAGATAGGAATAGTCTATTTCCAATAACTGCTGAGTGGAAATTAAAAAAAAAGAGAGACTTTTTTTTTTCACCACAAAGGAAAGTTATCAGGTTTAAAAATGTAAATAATGTACTTATAGAAGGCTTTTTTGATGGAAATGAGGGGCTCCATACAACCTTGGTGAGTGTGTTGTTAGTTTTGCACAATAGCTAAAAGAAGTAGCATCTATTATTTAGGGCTTTAATTACAGTTCTCAAAGTAGAATGATTTTCTTTTTAAAAAAACTCTTTAGATGTAAAAAATAATGGCTTTTGTGATATAATTTAAGGGTTTTCTTCACCTCCACCATCAGAATTTATTTCTAGTGATAAAACTGTATTAAAACCCTCTTATTCTCAGACAATTTCGACGCTGTGGCGTCACACAAAGGCACACATCCTAAGTGCATCCAAAGTCATTTTTATTCAGCAAGGGGCTGATCTGAAATGTTGCTTTTCATCCAGTTTAGGTTACATGGGGTATTAAGACCAGATCGTTTGTAATTAGGAGGGGCGGCAGGCTGGTAGCATCAGGGGACAAAGGGAGAAAAGCAGGAGCCACCTTTTCTGAAAATCCATTCTCTCCGAGCTGGAAAGACATCATTTCCGGCTGGATTGTTTGTCTGCCTGCAGTGATGACAAGGCATGAAGCCTTTGGAGATCTGCAAATAGTTACCGAAGACCTGAGGACCAGCGGCAGGTTGATGGTGCGGGCAAGCGACTGTGGCCGGCCCAGGGAGGAATTTTCTAGATCCTGGAGAAGTGGGCACCGATGCCTATCTGCTATGAACCCGTTTGGCCACAGGGTGGTATAATTTTCCTAGCAGAAAAGTTGTTTTTTTATTCTTTTTCATCGCAAGGACAATTTATAATCATCAAAAACAAGTGAAACATGGTTTTGATTAAAACAGCCTGTTGGCTCAATAATCTCGGTAATTTTAAAAACACCCTTAATGCAGAAGAAGAACGTCGATGTCAGGAATGGCCTGGGGCCCCATTACAACAGCAACCGAATAAATAAGGAAGAGAATCGCGAGGTCATAAAAACAAAATTAAGCTAATGTTTCAAATTTTGACAATTATGAATTCTTCCTCTAAGAAGACATTAAAAAATTTCAGGCACTATCAGATAAAATACAAAGAAGATAATTCCACATGGATAAGTTTGCAGTTTTCCCGCGGGGTAAAAGCATGCCTGTGAAGGGAAACCCTGATTTTAGGGCATTGGTTCCTCCCTAGACTCAGCAATTGGACGGGACCTCATGCAGACAAACATGATTCTTATAATTTCTGTGTAAACTCAGATCTAATTCTTTCATAAGCTATCGAAAGAGAATGATCAGGGAAAAATTACAAGCATATTTTTTTTTTCTATACAAAAGAATCCCCCATTGTGGGCCAGTTTGGTAGGAAACAGAAACAAAGCAAATATAACAAAATCTGTGTTCGTACATGGCGGTATAGTTAGTATATACAAATATGTACAGTATAAAAATGCACGGAAAGCTTATGTCCCCAGCCATCCAAGCTGCCCTGTACACAAGGGAAACAGCCTGGGTTTTCTTCCTAGTATACAGGCGAATGTCTTATATACAGCATGCAGGTGATAGAAAATTAGCGCGCCTGCTCGGAAACATTCTACAGGTATGGTCGCGGTCATTTGTCTTTGAAAATGACCGGGCTGCTTTCCTAATACAAAAATGTGTTTGCCTTTCTTCGCTAGAAAATAAACACTTTTCTACAGAGCAAGGATGAATGTGATTCTTGAAACTCTGACCCATTTCTCCCACTGCCCTTTAGAAAGGAAAGAGACTCAAAATCCAGAATGAATGCAAGGGGACATGTCCATAATGGAAATGTGTTTGATGCTGGATTTCTGAAAAAGTCGCAAGAGCTCTGCCCAGCAAGAACTGGTTGACCATTAAGGATTATATCTGATCAGCCAGCTTCTTGATTTTCAAGGGGTTTGGAAGTAGATAGTGCCTGGCTATTTGGGATCAAAGTTGAAAGGGATTAGAAGGCTATCTTCAGAGACCGAAAAGTATATGGTAACTGGGATCTAATGACATTTAAGAACACTGGGCCAAAAGAGATTTTTTTTTTGCATCAGTGTTTTTGACTTGTACTGCATGTTCTTAGCATCTGACGTGTTCTGAATCCCAAATATTGTATTTCAGGACAGGAATGTTTTTCTGCAGTATTTACCTTCACGTAGAATGGGTGCAGTTTTTACTTTTTCTTTTCAGACTGGACAAACTTTGTGTACTTTAAAAATGTACATACACATTTATAAATCCTGAACATTGTGTGAGTCATCTAGAAAGTGAATATATTACTGGACACAGTCTTCACATTTGAACCATAAGCGTATGATTGTTCACTCTGTAAATATTAGCTACTGCTCCAGGGACAGATATCCAAATGTAGGTTTCAGGTTCAAGATAATTCGGTGGACACGCTGAAATTTATTTTCTGAAAGGGTTGAAGGGAGTGCTTAGATTTTTTTTTTTAAGCAATGCATTTCTTCAAAAAATAATTCAACTTCTCTTGTGGGCTCTACCACAGAGTTGCTACTTGCACTTCCAAAAGCTGTTTTAAGCAAATAAACATGATACAAAGGGCTGTGAGTATTTGATCTTTTCCAAACACACCGTATTGTAAAAGGGCTTAATGATAATCATATGGCTATTGATAATATCATTTATTTACTGAAGTGCATCAGTTCAGGGTGTCATTCCTAGAAGAACCATTTTACTTGGGATATATTTTTCCAAAGGAAATGAGCAGAGTCCTGTTGCTGAAATAGCGTTGCATCTGGCACTCGCATTTTAAAACAGTCCTATTCTAATCCATAAAACATTTCTAGTTTTCCCTGAAGCTTTGGGCTGCCTTGCGCATGAATAATTTTTGGAGAAACACCCACGCCCGTTAGCCCATTGTTCGTAACTATGAGAAGAAGATTAACCAGAGCCTGGAAATTGTGTATCTGCGGCTGTCGCTGTTTCTGTCACAGGAAACTGAAGGAGATAAGTAGCTTTTACTTTGGATGAAGAGGTAAAATTCCACTGTAGAAATTCTAAAGATGATTCACAAGTTTCAAAATGTTTAGTGCTTTTCTACAATGGAAACACGTCTCTGTCTGGGGGGATGGAAATTCGTATCTCTCTTTCTAGCTCAATCTTTGTCTAAAAGTATTTCAGAGATATTTTGAGAAAGGACCACATAGAGGAAGGGAGGAAATGAAATTAGCATTTTAACATCTCACAGAGGGAACAAGATAAACCGAAAGTTCACTTGACTTTTTGTTTTTTTTTCCTAATGCGTCTTCAAAATCGATACCACTTTTATTATTCTTTAGCACTACATATGGGTATATGTGTGCTAACACCTTCAATATGTTTCCTTATTGTTATCTTAGCATTCATCTACACACTCCTATTCTTGTTGCTGGGAAGAAGAGAGGACAGTGTGAAGTGACACTTGCAAATGTCTTTTTAAAAATGAAAACATTTAGTAAGGGGAAGAAAGGAAATACAAGAAGAAAAGGTTTGAGCATCGTCAAACGGTCTGGGAAGTGACAAACAGAAAAGTGACAGAATTCAAGCACCTCATGAGGCCTCTAAGCTTTGGATTTACTGTGAAAAGTTTCAGGAAATCTCAGCCTCCTACTGCTGCATTCTCCAGAGGCCTTGGAGAATAACAGTAAAGCTAATGTGTGTGTGTGTAATGTGTGCGTGTACACACAAACACCCCCCCCTTCACTACTTAACCGGAGTTACATACATGCTTCCCAAACATATCACTGCATTTGTTCTCTGCATTTCAACTAAGTTCAGGGGCTTTTGTCTATAAAATTTAGCCTATTAACCACACAAGAAGCAAATACCAAGCAGGAAGATATGGGGGTGAGTTTTAAGAAATCTATTTGTGGCCTGAAAGAAATTCTATGGGAACTGTCTGGGCTATCCAATTCATTCCATGATTCTATTCTGTTTTTAGGCCCTGACCTACTTTTTAAGCTATTTCCTCCCTGTTTGCTTTTTCAGAGGAAAAATTCCTTCTCCTGAAATACTCTGATTTTGACCCTGGGTGAACTCTGCCCCAAGTGGTCTGGGTATCATGACATGGAGGAGCGGCTGTCAGCAGGAGGAGGGCCAGGATGTCGCTGCATGTCACTGTGCCATGTCCTGGTACCTAGAACAGGGCCACATGCACTGGAGCTGCCCAAGAAGCTCTGTTGAGTGAATTTGCGGAGTAAATTGTGTTTCTTGTGCCCCAGTGTTTTTAACATGTTGTATATTTGGTGGATTTGCTGAACTACAAAGCTGGGCCAAATACATAAAATTTAAATATTTGTAAATAATTTTCACAATGGTCATTTCAAGTTTTAGTTGGTTGGTGGCCTTAGCTGGAAGAGGGAAAGGGAAGGACAGGCAATCTGTCACTGCCCCTACTACCAAGGGATGCTAGTGCAACGGAAATACTTGAGAGTAATTTTTTTTTTTTTTTTTTGGTACTGGGGATCGAACTCAGGTCCTTGTGCTTGCGCAGCAGGCGGGGAAACCACTGAGCTAAATCCCCAGCCCACTTGAGGGTAATTTGCATGGTATTTGCACGTCATTGTCCTTCCTCTCTCTAAAGTTCCAACTTTTCCCAGCTACTGTTTTTCAGAAAAAGGAAGGACGTGGTATGAAAGAGGATTAAAAATGTTCTCCTGAATGCATGCTATTTAGTTTTTTTTCTCCAGGAAGAAGTTTCTAGAAGCCTCACGGGGCTTGCCAAACGAAGACAGGCCTGGTCTCTAGAAATACATCGAGAGCTGTTTGCATATCACAGTGGCAGCTGAGATCCTGCTTTCTAAGGAGAACATTAGCACCTGTCCCTCAGCAGTGACATTCACAGTTTCCAAGTGATGATTCATGAGTCTTACCAAATTTATCAATATTTTTGTCTGTAGCCTCCCACCCTACCCCATCAGAGAAATTGCACCAGCAAAACCATACAGATTATTCATGGAAGCAGATGATTTATTATTTTTTTCTTAGAAGGGAAATGATTTCCAAGGAGTTTAGAATTGTTCTGTTTCCTCCCTGCTGAAGTACGAGCTCAGAATTTGCTTCTTGGATGGTGGCGGCAGGATCTGAATTATGTAACTTTATCTGATAACCCTGGCTTGGAGCAGGTAATTTTCACCAGCTTCAGGAGCCCCAATGCTAATACATTGATTTCCCTCTAATAGAATTTCATTGTCGAAGGACAGTGCTCAGTAGAATCCACCTTTCAATCTTAACCCATCTGAAGACTGTTCCTTTCCAGTTGAGTTCCATTCATTTCTGGTTGAATAGGTTAAGCAAAGACAGACCTCGCTGTTCTCAATTCACTTTATGATCCTCCCATCATAAAAAATAATATCAGCACCTTGCTTTTCATGTCAGAACTACATTTGAGCCGCTATTCTCTATGCCCATGAGTAAATCCCATAAAAGCTGCCCCGTTGTACTGTTGCTATTTTTCCTTGTGGGTGATTGATTGATAGATGAGTCCTGACACTTCAATGAAGCTATTTCGACTGGCATCTCAATCCGATGATGTGAGGGGTATATTTTCTGTCCATGCCTCATTACTTCAGAATGACATTCCTGGAACTTCATTTACTTTTTTCCTCCTTCCCTGAAGCGCCATATTTTTTCCCATCTAGGTTATGCATGCCATAAAAAAAGCAATTTGCCATTATATGTGGCATAAGGGCAACACTTTCCCTAGGAGGTAAATAAGAAGGTTTTTTTAAAATCCCAATGTTGAATTTAGGGATCATGTTAAAATTTCCAAAACAATTTCAACAGGCAGCTTTTATGAGAAACAGTGAAGAGGGTATATTTGGTTTCATTTTGTCAGTGTTGAGTATTTTTTGATAACCATAGTAATTAAAGCAACAACACAATATTCCATTTGTTTCTGAGTTATCTAGCTCTCAATGTTGTGCCTAGGCTAGTTTAAATATTTCACCTTTAGCTGAGTAGCAGTTTATAACACAATCCAGACTTATTGGTCTTTTGAGAATAAGGAAATTCATTGTTTAAATGCAATGATGGATTTATCTATTATAGGTTGTTTTCCACTGTATAAGAAAATGCTCAACTAGAATAAATAGATCTATCCCTGCATTTCCAACCTGTGTACTAGGTGTGCAAGACTTTTAATATTAAAACATGCTCTTAGCTTTTCCAAGTTGACTTAGGACCTGATTTTAATCTGTGTAATACAGTATTCCCGTTAATAATAACATATAATTAAGACATCCGTTAAAAATCCATAACGTTAATTTAATGGAGAAAATCTAATACAGTTCTATTGGAATTTTTACGTTAAATTAACTTTAACGGGCTTTTAATGGATGTCTTAATTAGATCTCATTATTAACGGGAATATTCCACAAATTAAAATTGGGCCCTTAAAGTTTTAATGAAAAAAGTTGCAGGAACACATTTAAAATGGACACCCTATTTCATGCTTTCTGTTGGCTGTACAGTCAAGCTGCATTTCAGAGTTCATAAACAACAGGTCCTGTAGGAAGAGATTACCAGAAAAGGCTGCTGCTGAACTTTCCACCCGACAATGATCTCATCTTCTTGCTCTCTCTCAGATTCTACGTCTCCTCACGTCTTCCAGTTTCCAGGTCTCATATGACAGTGATGCATGCTGAAAACTATGTTTTAAAACCAATCAAGATAATGATCATGATAAAGATGCCTACCACTGGATGGGAAAATGTCTTTGGCAGCAACACAGTTAAGCCTAACTATTTGAACAACTTTCACAGAAGATGAACATTGTTCAGAGGTTTTCTTGGCTTCAACTCCAGTTTAACTTAATAATTCTTCTACTTTGCAGTGATTAATGGCTCCCTATTGCAGGGGCAGGACTGGGCAATCCAGGTGCAACCGTAATTGTTACACTGAACAGAAACATTTCCTTTAGACAAACGTTCCCAGAGGGGTTATAAATAGGAAATGGACGTTAGCATGAAGAGTAAGCTTCCAAGTGTCCACATCAAGTGCAGCCCACTTGGACATTAAACTCTGAAGACTTACACCCCCTCCCTTTCCTGTTACAAACTGACAGAATAAGTACATCAATGCTCCCAGTCATTATTTTTCTTCGGTGGCACTTTGTTTTCTTGTGACAGTGAAAGGAGATGGTGGAGACGAGACAAGCCCCTCGCAGTTTATCAACGCGAGTGGAGTGTCGTCCATAAGCAGAGAAGTGGAAATCAATACTTCATTACCAAATTGTTAGTGAGGATGAAGAGAAATGGCCGGGGTGATTTTTCTGGCAGTCTTCTTGCAGCAGGGTGTAGGGAGGAGGAGGTGGGTTCAATGTCAGAAGCAGGTGATGCACGGAGAAGGGCTCGGTGTGAGGGACCCAGGCTGGAAAGCGGAAACTAAGGCATTGGTCCTGTAATGGGAATCAGAACAACAGAAAAAGATGCATTACTTTCTGCTGTGTGGCCAGGTGGTGGTTCCCTCAGGGAGTCAGACTGCCCACTGGTACACGTTGTCTGACTGATGTTCTGAGTGGAGCCACAGCTAACCCTGGGCAAGGGTCCAGTACAAAAAAGATGGGACATTGAACAAGAGGAGCCAACGTGGGGGAAAATGTCAGACATCAAAGCAATGAAAACAGTTATTTATGGAAGAGATATTTATGCACCCATGTTCATAGCAACATTGTTCACAATAAGCAAAAGGCAGAGGCAAAGCAGAGTGAGTGTCCACTGATGGGTAACTAGGTAAACAAGGTGTGGTCCACATGTGTGCTGAAATACTACTCTGCTTTCAAAAAGAAGCAAATTCAGATACAGTTGACGACTCGATGGATGAACCTTGAGGCTATTATGCCAAGTAAAAAGAAGTCACAGAGTGATACTGTATGATTTCACTTATATGAGGTACTTAGAGTTGTCAAAATTATAAAAACAGAAAACAGATGGTCATCACCAGGGGGCAGAGAGGAAAAGAGAGCTCTTGTTTATTGAGTTTCAGTTTTGCAAGATGAAAACTTTTGGAGATGGACAATATTTTTTTTCCTCTAATTTTTAGACAAGGTCTCGCTGTGTAGTTCAGGGTGGCCTCAAACTCTCAGCAATCCTCCTGCCTCAGCTTCCCGAGTGCTGGGATTACAGGCATGCACCACCGCACCTGGCATGGAGACAGACAATATTTTTTGGCTGCACAGCAGTGTGAATGGATTTAGTAGCACTGAAATATACCCTTAAAATGGTTAAGGTGGTAAATTTTGCTTTTTGTATTTTATCATAATTAAAAATAAAAAATAGCCAGGTGTGGTGGTGCACACCTGTAATTGCAGCACTCTGGGAGACTGAAGCTGGAAGATCACAAGTTTGAGCCCAGCCTTTGGCAACTTGGTGACTTAGCCAGATACTGTCTCAAGATAAAAAATAAGAATTGGGTGTGGTGAACTACATAGGGAGATCCTGTCTCAAAAATCAACAAGAACAACAACAACAACAAAACAGGCCAGGGATTTAGCTCAGTGGCACTGCACCTGCCTCACAAACGAAAGGTCCCGAGTTCAATCCCTGGTACCGAAAAAGAAAGAAACACACACACAACAACAACAACAACAACAACAACAACAACAACAAAAACAAAACAAAAAAGGGTTCGGAAGTAGCTCAGTGTGAAGGCTTTGGATTTGAGGTAGAAAATTAGAGTGTGGCAACGCTGGCTGGTGAAGTAGGCAGAAACTGTTAATTACAAAACCCAGAATACATGCACAGAGCAGTTCCCAAAGCCCTGCACGTGGACAAGAACTCCAGCAGGTTTTCAATAAAACACCCTAGACTGACATCAGCCTGAGGCTGGGATCCTAGCACTGCCTCTCAGGACCCATATGGAGAAGTTTGCCCAGGTTTCCTCCAGATCTCGACAGCATAGAAGACACAGACGCCCAGGAGAGCTCGGTACCATGGCTTTCCTCATGATAGCCTGCCTTGGGTCACCAGCACGTTTTTTTCTCTCTTTTTTTTTGGTACTGGGGATCGAACTTGGGACCTTGTGCTTGCGAGGCAGGCGCCGGAACCACTGAGCTAAATCCCCAGCCGTTTTTCTCTCTTTTACTGGGCCCAAGCTCACTCTGCAGAGCCAATTTCTCACTTCTCTTCACTTTTACTTTTTCAAATAAACTTTGCCGCTGGCTTTTGCTTATTTCATCCAATTCTTTGTTCGAAACGAGAAGAACCTGGAATCTAACTCCAGAAGGAGACACAAGCACCCCAAAATCCGGTAATGATAACAGATTCGATCCCCAGTATGGCCATCAGCTCTACCAACACAGACACACACACACCACACACACACACACACACACTTGGTATATGATTTTTTTCAATTATAAAGCATCTTGAAAAATATAATTTAATCTGGCTGGCCATCTAGAAAGAGCTCCTATTCATATCTGCTGTACTTCCTTCCAGTCTTTTTTTCCTCCTGTAAGTTCATTAGGGACACACAGTCATGTGGGTTGACGACTATGGAGCTATCTATGTATGATGACTCTGTCACACACATGATCTCAGTGGGCTAAACCATTCTTATACTTCTGAAGATTTAATTTTCTTCCAATTTTATTTAATAATACATAACACCGTGATGAACATCTTCATGTTTAAAGCTTTTCAGTATGTAAGATGTTCTCATAGTTCTCAACTCTGAAGTTCTTGAATCAAAAGATGTGAATATTTTTGTGATGAGGAATGCTATTTAAAAGCGAGTGTAGTGATCTCCGCCCCCCACCCCCCCAACTTTGTTGTTGAATCACCTTGTGGAAAGCGTGTGCTTTCTCTTACCCCAATCTGAGTGGAGTTCCTTATTTACGTCTTGTTATTTACTGGTAGTTTAAGTTATAGTGAGAAAAACCACGTTGGATCTAAAAATAACTAGTTGTTTTGGGGAAAAAGCTGACAAATTTTTGGTAGGAAAACGAAAACAAATTAAAAATCACACAACATTTGATGAGTGTAGAGAAATTATACACAAAATGATCATAACACATTTAAAAAAATAGTATGACTGCAATACTAGCAACCAGTTTTATTACATACCTATCAAATTCTAGGCACATAACATGTCTGTGTGTGACTGCTAACTTTTTTTCTTTCTTTCTTTTTTTAGTACTGGGGATCGAACCCAGGGAGCTCTGAAGTACACCCTCAGCCCTTTTTATTTATTTATTTTATTATTATTTTTTGGTACTGGGGATTGAACTTGGGTCCTTGCGCTTGTGAGGCAGGCGGCAGGACCACTGAGCTAAATCCCTGGCCCAGCCCTTTTTATTTGAGATGTCTTGTTAAATTGTCCAGGCTGGCTGTGACCTTGCCACCCTCCTTCTTCAGCCTTCCCAGTGGCTGGGATTATAGGTGTGTGCTGCCATGGCCAGCTTCCCTTATTTCTTTTTGGTTTTTTGTATTAGTACCAGTTTGTACTACATAATGTTGCATTTGTTGTGGGGACTGGCACGTGTATGTAACATACCTCAAGTCTGTTTTTAATCCCTTTCCCTCCCCTCCCTTCTGGCTCCTTCTCTTGATCTGCCTTCCATTTGAAAGAAATCTCCCTATTTCCTATTATCAATCTTTCATTTTGCTCTTTATATTTTGGGTTTCTCATATAAGAGAAGCTTGTGTGTCTGATTTGTTTCACTTAATATTATACATTTTTGTAATTGACACTACTGGGGAGGCTGAGGCAGGAGAATCTCAAGTTTCCCACCTGGGAAGTTTAGTAACTTAGCAAGATCTGTCTCAAAATAAGACATAAAGGAGATGGGTATGTAGGTCAGTGGTAGAGTATCCTGGGCATTGGAAGAGGTGCAGTGGAACAGAGGCTCAAAGAGGCTAGTGACTTGCTGAAGGGCAACAGCTGGTGAAAAGTGGACATGGCTCTCGATGCTGACCTTTCCATACTAAAGCCTCTCAGTCCCAGGTGGGCCCCTTGGTCATTTGCTCCTGACGTTTGCTGTGTACTGGAGAGATGAAGGTCCTTGGCAGTATTTGCTCTGCCTTGGTGGGACCCTCTGGCAGGTCAAAGGAAGAGGGTCATGTGGCTGGAAGGGGGCACAAGGAGAGGCGCCGGAGTGCAACACCACTGGGGTGTGAGGCAGGCCCAGGTGGGTTCCAGTTTCCCCTTCCTGCCCATGTCGCCACGATAGCAGCTGTATGGACCCTGGTCTCATTGATCACTTCCTTGAAGCTGCTCCAGATCTGATCAACACCCAAACTTTTATGGCTAGGTTTCTCTTAGGGCAAAGTTTGTTCTGGGGAGGGGGACAGGGAGGAAAAGAAGATTATATCATAGTCCCGCTTTTCAAAACACACAGTGCACACTAGCATAGTACAGACTCTGGGAGGCCTTCAGTGACCCCCCACCCCAACACAGCAGATCTCTGTCGAACCCAGTGCTTGCCAGATTCACTTGCTAATTCTTTCCCTCTCTACGAAATGCTCACAAATGTACTAGAGTACTGTTTTCTGGAAAATAGCTTCTCGGTAGATCCTTCTGCAAAAACAAAGGAGCCTGTTCAGATCTTAAGGTCTCGGTGGTGATTTTGTTTCTGACTGGCTTTTCGGGCCTCAGTATGAGAGGCTCCTGATGTGGCTGTGACGACATCTTCTGAGTGCTCATTCCGCGCTAAGCTGGGTGTAGCTTGTTCCTGTACTGGAAGCAGAATGGCAAAGAGGGGGCTTTGATCTTGGGCCCCTTTGGGGCAATATATTGCTTTGTTTTTCAGAACTGGAGATAAAACCCAGGACCGGGTGCAAGCTAAGCAAATGCTCTACTACTCAGCTACATCCTCAGGGTTTTAAGACAGGGCCTGGCAAAGTTGTCCAGGCTAGCCTTGGGTTTGTGATCCTTCTGCTTCAGCCTCCTGGGTGGCTGGGTGCTATGGCTTGTATCTAGATGTCTCCCCAAAGCCTCACAGGCTCATAGGTGGTTTTTGGGAGGTGGCTGGGTCATGAGTCTGTGATGTTGGATTAGGGTGTATGATACTGGAGGGTGTGTGATAACTAAGTGGGTTTAGCACAGTTCTGAGTGTGGATAATGGAAGCCCCACCCTGGGTGTGGGTGGCACCAATCAATAGATTTGTAGCCTGGATGGAATACAAAGGGAGAGAGGGAAGCAGGCTGCTCGCTGCTGCTTGCTGCCTCCTGCCTACTCTGCTATGGACTGTTTCTCCTCTGTGATGCCCCTCTGCCACGAAACCCTGCCTTGGAGCCAGCTGATTATGGACTGAAACCTTTACAGACTGTGAGCTAAAATAGACCTTTCTTCCTTTAATTTATGGGTGTTGAGTATTTTGTCCCAGCAACAAGAAATGTAACTAAGACACTGGAATTGTCTTCTTTACCTTAAAAGATGAAGAAAAAAACTTGTCT